TTGTTTTGTTTTCTGAATGTCCAGAGGACCAGATTTAACTTTAGATCTGTAAATCATGCGCAGCTTGAAGCGACTGCAGCTGTGTCCCACTAGATGGCAGTGTTGCTCTAAGATCTAGTTTCCAGATCTTTGTTTCCACAGCCTCAGGGAGTTCAACGGGTTCATTCTTAAAGACTTGGGAGACACAAGCTCCTGCTTGCTTTCTGCTCAGCCCCATTCTCTGCTCAGTTCAAAATGCAGCAACTGTTACTGAGCACCTCAAAGAAATCTCTTGATTCTGAGTCAGCCAGATGGAGCTGAAGTCAAAGTGTGATTTCTGCCCGTTGCTCGGGCGTTGCAGTTGAATTGTAACCATTTGTCTGTTTTTATGTGTAAACGAGAGATATGTGTCATTATCAAAGAGCTTTAGCGTCAGCGTGGTTCCATTGTAGCTTTTGAAGGCAGACGGCCGACATGATGATGCTGTTGTATCGTTACAGACGTGTGTCGGAGGAATAACAGCGAGAAGCTGGAGGGTGAGCATGTAGTTCAGGAACGAGCTCAGTTGTGTCTGTATTACGTACGTTCAGCTCTTCTTCTTGTCCTGTGTGCGTTTTGTAACTCCGTTACTTTGAGCTGGTTTAACCAGAACGTTCAGCTCATGTGGGTCATGGGCGATGACTTGTCTTTTTGTGACTTCTGTACAAATATTTGTTCTTAGATATGCTTTGAGATCTCTTCCACTTCTTCTAAAACTCAAATTTTCTAATCTGCTTTGTCATATTTCATTTTATTTTGTGACTTTGAGCTTTTAACTAATGTTCTGCTACTTGCATCTACCTTTTGATGCTTTTAGCTGCTTTTCTCTTAATAACTAACCACATGCTTCTTTCAACCTTTTAGTAAGTTTTGCACTCTTATCGTTAACCTTTAATTACATTTAGTTGTTGTTGTTTTTTACCATTTTATTACTTTAAGCTAGTCTTTTGCTACTTTTAGCAGTTTTGCTAATTTTCTGCTTCTTTTATCGACTCAGTTTCAGCTTCATTAAATATTCCCACGACATTTCTCCACTTTACTTTGCTAATGATCTTTTGTGATGTATAAAATCTTCTCTAAAGCTAAATTCATATGTATAATTAATATTTGTGACTGTGGATGAGCATGAGGAAGAGTGGCCTTTTTGACAGAAACTGTACAAGATGATGTTTTAACAGAAAGCGTTTCACTGTTCACAGCCATTTATTGCAAGTTGCTCATGAAAAGTGTCTTTTGTCGCTCAGCGCTCTCAGGCCGCGCTCCAAGCCCATGTGTTACTGATAGGACTCTACGAGGCTGGTTCACCATCATAAATCTGGTTTAACCAGCACTAGGAATCATAAAGTCTGTCGCCCGAGGCTTCAAGGATTTCCCTTGGCTTGCTGAAGGAGCTGGAACAGTCCTGCCTGGACGCTTGCTTCAGGAAGCAGTGTCTGCCGTGGATGTTGTAGGCTTGGTGTGTCCAGTAGATGCTTTCACCACGTTCACAAACACTGGGTCTGACACGAGCCGTCCCAGTTGCACCCACGATGCAGCCACAGCATTTGTTCAGTTATCTGATTTGAAACGAGCCCGACTGAACACTCTGACCCTGCTCTGGTCTTTGCTCTAGACTTTGACTTGAGGAAACGTCTTCTCATGCTACGATGAGAAGACGTTCTAGAAAAGAGTCTCGTTTATTCCACGGTATTCCAGCTGTTTCTTGTGCGATCAGTCATTGATTGTGTATCGTCTTCACTGATCAGGTCAAGTGATCGGTCACTAAGCGTTCTTCATCTTCAATGAGTTTTTGTCTGAATTCTCAAAATTCTTCACTTTTTTTCATTCCACCTTTATTTCTACAGGTTGATCCCATTGATCCTCGACTCATTTATAAGAGAGACCTGATTTCTTAACAAAGAGTGGCGACAACAACGGACAACTACAAAATACTAATAAGTGATCATAATAGGTGATTTCAATATTCATGTAGATGTTGAAAGTGAAAGCTCAAGCACAGCTCGTTCTTATCATCACACTCTTGATCTGGTTCTGATTTATGGCATTGAGATTAACAGCTTAGTAATCCATCCTAATAATCCTCTTCTGTCTGCCACAGAGTGACACGGCAAGAACTGACAGTGAAATTCAGTGTGTAAGAGTCCGTTTTACATTACACAACCTATTTCTTTAACTTTGTGTTAACTGGTCATAGCAAGTAAAGACTAAACTGATGCAAGCAGAAGTTACAACATGTTTAATTGAATCATTAAGCGTGCAGTGTAATTATGACAGAAACTGGAGGATTTACTTGCTGTCACTTCCTGCTTGCTCTCAACGAAGACGGTCGCTTCACCCGCTCCTGCTGTTTTCTCTTGTCCTGTGAATCTTTTTCAGAGCCTCTCTCTACATATCTTCTGAATCATTAATCATGGATCTGATCAGCTGGTCTCTCAAGGCAAGTGATAAAAAATTTTAGACGAAGACGGGGTGAAGGAGGGCCCTCATGCCCTGAAGGGACATTGGCTTTGGGATACACCATGGATTCCTGGGACCAGTTGAAGATGCCGTGTCTCTGTATTGTCTGTTGAGGATGTAGAAGACAAATACATAATTGGATTTATGATAGTGGGGTTTCTGGCTTATCGTTGGCAGCAGATCTGTCAATTGTGAGGCAGGCTGCCATGTGTGAAGGAATGTGCCGCGCTTCGAGCGCCCAGAGCTGGACGCGATTTCTGTGAATCACAGGCCACTTGTTGCTTCTGGAACTCGCTGGCGTGAAATGTTCGACCTTGGGGAAGGCTGGAAGCACGACCCAGTGGAATGACCACAAAATGTGGCTGTTTGGATTCACCATTGAGAAGTACCAGCAGAACGTTTGAAGGCAGAGGCTGCCTGTCCCAAAACAATTGTTGTCAAATCCCTCACTTGGCCTTGAATAGGCCAGCTGTATCAATTTTTTTCCAGAGGTTATATGAATAATGACGCTCTGCTGCTCCTTTACCCCCCTCTCCCGAGGACATCTGTGGGCCTTATCAGAACTGAGCCGCTGATAGACACTGTACCATCTTATCAGAACTATGGAACTTTCTGGCATTGTCCACGGACAAC